CAGAATTTATGTCTTCTTTAATAAACCAAGTTATTTTCTTTGAACAGTTGGTGCTCCGTTCCTCTGCATGCTTAAACTCGGCCAAAGCAAGTGACAAAGGGTATCTCTAGGCAGGGGTCATTTCGTAGAAGCTTATTGGCATAACTCATTTGCATATGCCACACTCCCTGATATCACTGGAAGTGTGTCAGAAGGCAGCACCCACCGCTCAGGCTCCACTGGACTGTTTTGGATTGCTAGCTATTGGGGGGTGGAGAGAAAACACCCACCGTTCAGGCTCCACTGGACAGTTTTGGATTGCTAGCTATTGGGGGGGGGGCGTGCAGATCTGTCCTCGCAGAGGAGGGAGAGCTTGTACCTGAATAAAACTTAGTCTTAAAGGTGCCACTGGACTGTTTTGGACTGGGGGGGTGCAGGGGGAGCTCTGCAACTTACCTGGCTGCTTCTTGCTCTGACTGAGGGCTGCTGGGAGCAGGGGGTGGGGCTTGTTGCATGTGCCCGCCCCCTGGGCTCTTTACTGCCGGAGCTCCACTCCTGTGCGCTCCTGCAGGAAATGACCCCTGTCTCTAGAAATTGCTAGGAACTCTATGGTAAAAGCCTCCTGTAGGTAGGGATTGAACCTGGGACCTTCTGTGTGCCAAGCAGATGCTCTACCACTGGGCAACAGCCCCTCCCCATGGGTCTCTAGGGTCTCAGGTGGAGGTCTTTCACATCCCCTGCTGCCTGGTCCTTTTACCTGGAGATGCCGGAGATTGAACCTGGGACCTTCTGTGTGCCAAGCAGATGCTCTACCACTGGGCAACAGCCCCTCCCCATGGGTCTCTAGGGTCTCAGGTGGAGGTCTTTCACATCCCCTGCTGCCTGGTCCTTTTACCTGGAGATGCCGGAGATTGAACCTGGGACCTTCTGTGTGCCAAGCAGATGCTCTACCACTGGGCAACAGCCCCTCCCCATGGGTCTCTAGGGTCTCAGGTGGAGGTCTTTCACATCCCCTGCTGCCTGGTCCCTTTACCTGGAGATGCCAGGGATTGAACCTGGGACCTCCGGCATGCCAAGCAGAGGCTCTACCACCGAGCCACAGTCTTCTCCCCTATTTTTTTTTTAAGAGGGAGCAAGCAGAGGGGATCCCTGTACATCCCTGCCTGACAACAACTGGAACCCATGTTTGAGCAAGAGCTTGACTGGCCGGGAACATGGACTTTCCCCACTAGGGTTGCCAACGCTGGGCTTGGAAATTCCTGGAGATTTGGGGGCGCAGCCTGGAGAGGGCAGAGTTTAGGGAGGGTGTTCAGCAAGGATGTGGTATCGTTGACTCTAACAACAACAAACCCCCCCCCGAAACCTGCCATTTTCTCCAGGAGAGCTGATCTCCGTACATTGGAGATGTATCGGGATCACAGGAGAATCCAGGTCCCACCTAGAGGATGGCCACCTGGAGTCCCAGAATATCCTCCTCTACGCCTGGCAAAGGGCTCTGTAGCCCCCACCTTCCTCAGCAGCTCATTCCCAAGCAGATAGTGGGGGAAAATTGCCATTTGTCTCCACTGGAAGGGCATAAGGAGCCCTTTGCCTGCATTTAGGCTTTGGGGGACATGGCTGAGCAGAACTCCTTTGCATATTAGGCAACACACCCCTAATGTAGCCAATCGTTCAAGAGCTTACAGAGCTCTCCTTACAGGGGCTACTGTAAGCTCTTGGAGGATTGGCTACATTAGGGGGTGTGTCGCCTAATATGCAAAGGAGTTCCTGCTACAAAAAGAGCCATAGAGTTTTGCCCTTAAACCAGAGCATCCCCGGCATGATGATGTCACTTCTGGGTGACGTCATGACATCAGGGAAGTCGTGTGCAGTGTTCCCTCTAAGCTGAGTTAGTGTGAGTCAGCTCACAGTTTTTTAGCCTCCGGCTCACACATTTTTGTCTCAGCTCAGGAAGGATGGCTCCAGAACACACTAATTTATGCAGCAGCCAAAACACCTGCTCACAACTTTAATGCCGGTAGCTCACAAAGTAGAATTTTTGCTCACAGGACTCTACAGCTAAGAGGGAACATTGGTCGTGTGGGGACGTGGCGGCTTAGGGGCGGGGCAACCCTCACCCCGATCTGGGGACTGGCAAGCCTAAAAGAACAAGAGTCCAGCAGCACCTTAGTAAAGGTAAAGGTTTCCCTTGCTCGAAAGCCAGTCGAATCTGACTCTAGGGGGGCGGTGCTCATCCCCGTTTCCGAGCCGAAGAGCCAGCGCTGTCCGAAGACGTTTCCGTGGTCGTGTGGCCGGCATGCCTAGACGCCGAGGCGCACGGAACGCTGTCACCTTCCCGCCGAAGCGGTACCTATTGATCTACTTGCAATTTCTTGCTTTCGAACAGCTAGGTTGGCAGGAGCTGGGGCCAGAGACGGGAGCTCACTCCGTCACGCGGCACTCGGGTCTCGAACTGCCGAACTATGGACCTTCCGGCCTGCAGCTTCAGCGTCTGAACCTCTGAGCCAAGTAGCACCTTAAAGACTAACAAAATTTGTGGCAGGGGGGGAGCTTTCCTGAGTCGCTGCTCACTTCTTCAGAAAGCTCCTCCCCTGCCACAAATGTTGTTAGTCTGTAAGGTGCTACTGGACTCATGGCTCTTTTCTTCTGATTCCGTGCACACGGTTAACCACGAGAACTCAGCGGCTCTCCTGGGAGCACGTCTACAGTGTCAGGATTCAGAGAGTGTCAGTTTCCTCCACTGCACAGCCTTTGATTTTAACACAATGAACGCCGGCAGGTCTCCTCCTGCTTCCTGCTTTGGGCGCAGATACCCGCAGGTACCTCCTCCTCCGAGTCCCCCGTCTCTTATTACAGCCGCACGCCCCCCCATGCATGGCCATTGGTTCACGCAGCACAGCTTCTAGCAACACCTGTCTCATGCAACTCGGTGTGGATTGCAAGATCAATTTGCAGGTGAAAGCACAAAGAAACAAAACGGGGAGGGGAGAGGGGGAGGAAGAAGAAGACTCAAATGCTCCCTCCCCAGAAGTTTCCCTCCAGTAGAGGGAGGCATGCAACTCGGTGTGGATTGCAAGATCAATTTGCAGGTGAAAGCACAAAGAAAGGAAATAGGGAGGGGAGAGGGGGAGGAAGAAGGAAGACTCAAATGATCCCTCTCCAAAAGTTTCCCTCCAGTAGAGGGAGGTCATTTGGGGGTGGGGGTGGGAAGGGGGTGAGGGGGGGGAGAAGCCAAGAGCGCATGCATCAAAACTTCAAAGGAAACTGGATTTTGCAAAGGTAAAGAAGCTTTGTCAACCGGTGTACCAAGCTGTGAAAAACAGGTTTGCCCCGTCAGGCGCTTGCTGCCCCCGATTTAACTCCTTCTTTTCCTAGAAGGCCCTAGAAGCGTGACTGCTTTTAAAAACTAAGATGCTATCGTTGGATAGCCACATTGTGCATGGATACTTCTGGATTCTCTGCACCAGGCACCACCTTTTTTACGGTTCCTTTTGCAGTGTCCTTTCCCCGGCCTGGCAACCCGCCCAATCTCTGCGCCCCGTTACTAGAGATCTACTACCATGGCCACATCGGCTTGGAAGATCTGCTTGATGAATTTGTTTCTTGAAGAGTGGACTAGCTGGATGATGTCCCCGTGAAGCGTGTCCCTGTTTTTCTCCAGAAACCCTGTAGGAGGAGAAGACAATGACTTGAACCAGGGATTACTTCTTATTATAAAATAGGTTATATTATAAAGGCAGGTCTTTTGTTGTAGAAAAAGCCCAGCAGGAACTCATTAGCATAATAGGCCACACCCAACAGAAGAAACTCATTAACATATTAGGCCACACCCCTGAAATAACATCTCATTTGCATATTAGGCCACACCCCCATGTTACCAGAAGTGTGCTCATCCAGCCACACCCACCTTTTGCTTCTTATTCTGTTTACCTTGTTTGTTGTCCAAACTCAGGGCTTTTTTGTAGCAGGAACTCCTTTGCATGACAGGCCACACACCCCTAATGTAGCCAATCCCAATGAGTTTCTGATGTTGGGTGTGGCCTATTATGCTAATGCGTTCCTGCAGGGCGTGGCCAACTTGGAAGCCAGCCGGAACTCTGTTCCTGTGCGTTCCTGCCCAAAAATAGCCCTGTATAAAGGTAAAAGGTAAAGGTTTCCCTTGCTCAAAAGCCAGTCGAATCCAACTTTAGGGGGCGGTGCTCATCTCCGTTTCAAAGCCGAAGAGCCAGCACTGTCCAAAGAGTTTTTCTGTGGTCATGTGGCCGGCATGACTAGACGCCGAGGCGCACAGAATGCTGTTACCTTCCCACCAAAGCAGTACCCATCTATCTACTTGCAATTTCTGGCTTTCGAACTGCTAGGTTGGCAGGAGCTGGGGCCAGAGATGGGAGCTGACTCCATCACACAGCACTGAAGTCTTGAACTGCCGACCTACAGACCTGAGTCCGGAGCTCAGCATTTTAACCTCTGAGCCACCGCAGCTCTCCTCTGTTATATTATATTAGACTATATATTATTTATTCTTTACTTATTTAAAACTTTTATTATCCGCCTTTATTTCTCATGGAACTCAAGGCGGCTTACAGCATAAATGAACTGCATAAAATGAATCACATTAAAAACACACCAAATCGACATTTTAAAATCACAACGGGGGACTGCTTTAATCTAAGGCAGTCCTCAATAAAACCGCCTCCAGCCCACCCCACCCCCCGGTCACGGCGGGGGGTCTCCCGATTTTTGGGCTGGCGCCCCCCCTGCTGGCACCCCCCCAAAAGGCCCCCTCCCACGGCGCCAGCGTGATGATGTCATCTGGAAGTGACGTCATTGCATTTTCGCCATTGGGGGTGACATGCTAGGTTTTGGGCAAACTATGGTTTTGAAGGTGAAAATACCATAGAGTTTTGCCCCAAACCTTTACCACAGAGTTTCTGCAAATTCCTAGACAAGGGTGGCATCGTTTCCGGGTTTCCCCAGGAAGTGACATCATGCTGCTGCTGAAGGCTGCCCCCCATACCCCTGCCATCACCACCCCCAGACTCCCATTGGCTGGTGCCTGGCAACCCTAGCCGAAGCTGTCTCCGAAGCATAACGCTAAGGGATATTTTCCCCCGAAAGCGAAGTGAGGGAGAGGGAGAAGATATACTGTGTGATGTCACCCTGCCGGCATGAGCTTTTAGCTGAGATCGCTGACTGCACAGACTAGCCCCGCCCTCCCCAAGTTGGCTCTCAGGTGCAGACTTCTGCTTACCATTCGTTTCGTAGTATACGATGCCGGCAAAGTGGTTGATGCCGAACTGGGTGTCGTAGTTGTTTTTGGGTGGGATGTAGTTGCTGTTGAGCTTGTGCTGGGAATTCAGCTTGTTCAACATGGTGGTGTCCGTTCCCTGCACCCATGCAAATAGTAAAGCCCGCGGTGAGAAACAGAGAAATCCAAGGATCCGATTCCCAGCTTGGTTACTGTAGTTCAGCTAACGTGCACTATTGTCCTGACTCCTCCACGTGTTCTGCTCTATCCCATTTACTTTCCACCACAGGGGAAAAAACAAGAAATACCTGCAGCTTCACGTGCAAAATCTATCTCCCTGTCTATGTAATCTATGTTATCTATCTATCTATCTATCTATCTATCTATCTATCTATCTATCTATCTATCTATCTATCATCTATCTATCTATCATTATCATCTATCTAACTATCATCATTATCATCCATCCATCTATCTATATATCATCATCTATCTATCATCATCTTCGTCATTATCATCTCTATCTATTATTTATCATCATTATCATTATCTATCTATCATCATCATCAATCTATCTATCTATCATCATCATTATTATCATCTATCTGTCTGTCTGTCTGTCTGTCTGTCATCTATCTATCTATCTATCTATCTATCTATCTATCTATCTATCTATCTATCTATCTATCTTCTTCATCATCATCATCATCATCATCATTATTATCTACCTACCTACCTACCTACCTACCTACCTACCTATGGTTTTGTTGTATTGTTTATTTCTGTAATCCAGGCTTTTCTGTATGTATTATACTGTTTTCTAGCACATTCTATAATTTTCTGTTCTGGTCTTTATTGCATCATTGGCTTTTAGTACATTGTTCCTATTTCGCTGGTTTTCTATTTTGTCTCAGTGAGAAAGGGGGTACCACAAACCAAGTGACAGTGCTTATGCTGCTGGAATCTGTGGCGGGTCTGCTGCAACACGGGTTGCCAACTCCGTGTTGCGACATTCCCACCCTCCAAAGCAGTAGTTTTCTCAAGAGGAACTGATCCCTGAACCTGCTGGAGATCAGTCGCAATTCTGGGAGATCTCCAGGCCCCACCTGGAGGTTGGCAACTCTAGCTGCAACTGTCTATATCCCAGGCCCATAGCGGCAGTGGGGCTTTTGAGGGCCCCGCCCCCTTTCTTAAAGGCACAGCCCCACAAGAATTTCTCCTGTAAATGCTTTCTTCGATATTTTAAAAACATTTTTAAAAAGGCATGTGCTCTTTTAAGCATAGTGGGATGCTGTAGTTGACTAATTTCCACACTGGGCCAAGGGGGTTGGAGTAGGTGACCTCTAGGATCCCTTCTATCTCTGTCTCAAGAAACTGGTGTCCTTTAAGAGAGTTTTTCTGCCCAAGTGTTAGCTTTCTTGACTACAGAAGCCATCACCCCCACCTGCTGGCTTGTTCTCAGGATTGTTGCTTAGGCTGGCAGAAGTGATTAACTTGCAGCAGCTGAGAACTGTCATCTAAAGCGGTTGACCGCTTGCAATTTAGAGATCCATCCTGCTAACAGCTTCCTATTGGCTAAATGGCTTTTCTTTCTGCACTGAGCACTTCAGCCTCACCAGAAAAAAAACTCAGCCCCACAAGCCACAGAATCCTGGCTACGGGCCTAACTAAAGCCCCAGCGGGAGGAGTGTGGCTGACCTTGGGGAACTTGCTCTCCTCGTCGATGAGCGAAATGATGTTCATGGGCTTGATGGCGATCATGTCCAGGGCGTCTTGGTTGTCGGTGAATTCGATGTGTTGCCAGTTGATATTCTCCAGGTTGTATTCCTCCTGCTCCAGCTTGAAGACGTGGCGGACGAAGAACTGCTGCAGGTTCTCGTTGGCAAAGTTGATGCAGAGCTGCTCGAAACTGGGGAGAAGGGGGGGGGATGTTGGAGTGAGCGACTCAGCATGCCTCGACATTGGGGGTGCGCTACATCACTCTAAGCGTGTTTAGGTGTTATCTCCTTGAATGGGATGCCTCTCTTTGTCATAACCTGGGAGCTGCCCTCTGACCTCTCCTCTCTCTTGCTTTGTCCTCTCACACACTGCACATGGCCTTCCATGGAGTCACATGTCTCCGCAGGTCTCTCCTGTAGATACAGTGGCCTCATACTCCCACACACAAGATGCCAAACAAGGTGACCATTTGTGATAAGGAAAATACTCTTTAGATTAGGATCCTCTCTCTCTCTCTCTCTCTCTCTCTCTCTCTCTCTCTCTATTTATCTT